TTATGATAATTTAGTTATTGATAAAATAAGATTGTTATGAAATAATATTATTATTATTAATAATAATTTATTACTTCATTATTTTTATCTTATTATATGAATAAAAATCATATCATGCAAATAAATAATTAATTAATAATATTTATTTCCAATAAACCTAACCTAACCTTATTTACGTAAAGTTGATATAAAATAAATTATCAAATTTATAATAAATTTATTTTGTTATTATCAAGTATTAATGATTTAATAAAAAAAAATTGAAGATTAAAAAATAATTCGAGATAACAATTGTTTTAAGTTAGTAGTAAACAAACAATCAATAGATTTAATTATTAATATCTAAATATATTGTTTTAGCTAATAAATTTTTAGTATAGTATTTATAATAGTATGTTTTATTGTAAAAATGAAATTTTAAGTTGAAAAATAATAATTATTTTATGGAAAAATATAGATTATTAAATTAAGTAATTAATTTTGCATATAGTTAAATATTAATTTATTAATTTTATTGCATAAAAGTGATATTGTGAATTATAGCATAAGATCAATTGCATATATATTTTATAAATACAATAAATATTATAAATTATTTAAATAATTTATATCCTTGTTTTATATAATATTATTATAATACAGACATTGAATGATTATACTAATTACTAACATAATTACTGAACAGTCGGCCATAGAGTATGAAATAAACTATTTATACAAACAATTATTAGATAAATATTTTTAGCACAATATTTTAATTATATAAAACTTATAATTAAATATTTACAATATGTCTAAGTGTTATTAAATTAATTGTCAAAAAGTTTGCCAAATATATATAATAAATGTCATAAATTCGTAGTAGTAATTAATTTTAACATAATTATATAATAAACTAAATATTTTAAATGTTTTGTAGTAATAATAAATAATACTAATAATCATAAAATTATAAAAGATATTGAATGTGTCTTAATATTAATAAATGTAGTGATAAAAAGTTTAATACAAAAGTTAGAAATTCAAGGGAATTCATTGGGAAAATATCTAAACAGTAGAAACCAATGACGGGTCCCGTCGACAGGCGCTCAATAAATGCCAATAGTTTCCATCGCTGACGATATGACAGTCGATTAGATTTAAATACATATGAATAGAGTAACGGTAGGGGTTTGTGGGCCTTACGGGTGACCCAAGTGCTCATCAAATTGATTGAAAACAATATGAAAAACAAAATCATAGATATAAAAGTCAATACAAGTTTAGTAAGGTTTTCAGTATTTTTGTTAAACATTAAGATTAATAGTAATTCAAACCCGACTGTCGACACATAATACAAATAAAACAATATATATTTAAACATATCGTTAGTCTGTTTGGCAACAATTGTAATTGTTATATGATTTAACATTTGTTGTTGAATTAAACTTTTATTGCACCCAATCTTTAATTTTCGGTAAATATCCTTAAACTGATAGATTAAATATAGAGTAGCCGTAACCCAAACCATAAACCCACCTAAAGCTATGCTAAACAATTTGATTGACCAAATAAATGTCAAAATTGATCCTAATGTTACAGTAGTTAAAGTGAACCCGGAGTTTGAATCTTTATAAGCAATAATTGTGATCCAAAATATCCATAAATTAGTTATAATAATTAATAACCAAAATATAAATTTAATAAATATTAGATTCAATAGATTAAGTTTGAATGCAAACTTGCGTTTAGAAAAATCACTAAAATTATATTGTAATCGATTGTCACGTAATTCAGTTAACATTTTTATTAGAATTAGTTTATTATTATAAAACATATAATGAATGGTTGTATTAATTAGAAACATAACAACTGCACAGTCGGATGCAGTTAATGATAAAAGCATCGGATGGGACACTATGTAGAAAGCATCGCACATAATAGCCCGCATCCACTGCTGGTCTACTAAACCCGACACCGCATACCGTATGGCAAATAACAATAGTACGGTATCGACACATAGACATCCAATTAGACGCCTAATCGGATTAACATTACTTACATAGTCATTCAAACTTGATATTGTTATATAATATTGTTTTAAAAAAATGTCAATTGTGTCGATAGCCGTTTTAATATTATAAAATTTATCCAAATAATTTCGATAACTATTATATTTTAATAATTGTGACATATTTTAAGTATAATTTAATATTTTTGCTTTTAAATGTTAAACTCTAAGCACTTAATAACAAAAATGTTTGTTTTTTCAATTGATTTTTTTTTTTTGAAAAGTGTTTTACAGAAGATAATTGATATAATTTCTTTTTCTAATAGCTGTTGAATTTCGGAAAACAATAATAGTAATAATAATAATTAAAAAAAAAACTTTTGTTTTATTAAATTAATTTTTTTTAAAAGTAAATTGAAATTTGTTCTACAAGTTGACCATTTGTTAGATTAAAAAAACTGATAAATAATTAATAAGTTTTAAATATATTATAAAAAAATAGTTTATTATAGTTTACAATACTTATAATAATCAACATATAAATTATAATAATACTAATATAAACTTAATTAGTATAACAGCAAAGATAATTAAATAGATAAAAATAAATGTTATTTATATTTAAATATATAGTTTTAGTTATTATTATTCCTCTAAAGGCATAAAATATTATTAAATTTCAATTAAGACAATTAGATTTGCAATTATAATAATAATAATTATTGTAAAGTCTGTATTTTGTCTTATATTTTCATATGTTATATATTTATATATATATATATAATTTTTTTTTTTATAGATTTATAGATATATTATATGGTAATTCATAATTTATTATTATCATAAACAACATTAATTACAATAAGTCTATTAATTATGTGAATTTATTTCATTTTCCAAATGAAATTGTTTTGCAAATAAATTTTTATTATTATCATATCTTATAATTTAAATCAATATTATGCAAATAAATAATATAATTTCAACATAGTTTGTAACAAAGAATAATACATAACTTAATATTTATTATATATTTATAAAATTTAAATTAAATATTATTTATGCAATTATTGTACTGTTTTATAGTTTTTACTATTAATATAATTTATAATATTACTTTTAGTTTAATATCACAATATGATATATCAAATAAATTAAAATTATAATACTTTTAAAAATACTTAATTTTCTACTTTCATTTAAAAAAAATTATTTTTATGTCAAATATTAGCAAATTAATATAAAATATGTCATCTGAAATTTATGTCACTTTTAAATTATACGATAATAAAAGTTATATTATAAATTATAGTGTTTATAAAACTGTTAAACTTTATTGTATAATTTTTATAAAACAATACAATGTTACAGTAATATATGATATTAATCTTAAAAAAATATACAATAAGTAAGTATTTTGCTATTTACTAATTTATTTATCTTTAAATTTTTTTTGATGAAGACTAGTATAGCTATAGATAAGTTGTGTCCGATAATATAAAATACAATATGTATTATATTAATACAAATAATTCAAACAACAAACAAACAAAAACACTTTCTCTATAAACATATAGTTCACAGTTTAAAAATAAAATATAAATATCATTTTGATGTGTAATCATAATCATGTGTTATAATTATAACATAACTAAGTTAATCAGTTAAGTTTTCCATTAAGGGGCGATACACATGTTACGTTCACACTTTTTAAGATATCTAGACCCCTCCTTAGTATGGCTAAAAAGTTTAATACAAATGTTAGAAATTCATAGGAATTCATTGGAAATATATCTAAACAGTAGAAACCAATGACGGGTCCCGTCGACAGGCGCTCAATAAATGACAATAGTTTCCATCGCTGACGATATGACAGTCGATTAGATTTAAATACATATGAATAGAGTAAGGGTAGGGGTTTGTGGGCCTTACTGGTGACCCAAGTGCTGACCAAATTGATTGAAAACAATATAAAAAACAAAATCATAGATATAAAGTCAATACAAATTTAGAAATTAATTCTTTTATTATTAATTTTAATTAATTTAATTTATGGTTACTATCGATAACAATCATAGCTTATACCGATCCCAGTTCAGGATTTACTTTAGCTACAGTAGTATTGGGTACACTATTGACATTTATGTGGTCATTGGCTGTATTTAGTATAACTTTTGGTGGATTTATGTCATGGGTTTTGGCCACACTATACCTGAAATATCAATTTCGGGAAATATATCGTAGAATTCATTTTTCAATTATTTTGTACGACTATAGTCTAATCCGACAACAATTGTTAAATCATATGGCAGTTACTATTGTCGCCAAACAGACTAACGATATATTTAAATATATATTGTTTTATTTGTATTATGTGTCGACAATCGGATTTGAATTACTATTACTACTATTGTTTAATAAAAATACAGAACACTATTCTAAACTTATATTGATTTTTATATTTATGGTAATGTTTTTCATATTGTTTTCAATCAATTTGGTCAGCACTTGGGTCACTAATGAGGCCCACAAACCCCTACCGTTACTCTATTCATATGTATTTAAATCTAATCGACTGTCATATCGTCAGCGATGGAAACTATTGTCATTTATTGAGCGCCTGTCGACGGGACCCGTCATTGGTTTCTACTGTTTAGATATATTTCCAATGAATTCCTATGAATTTCTAACATTTGTATTAAACTTTTTAGCCATACATTTGTTAATACTTAGACACATTGAGTATCTTCAATTAGCATTATAATATTTCATAAAACTGTGAATTTATTAAAAAATTTAGTTAATAATATAATATATGAAATATTAATTTTATACTTTAAAAAAATCAAAATTCATTTATTTTTTGATAATCAATAATTTATATCAAAATAGTTGTCAAATAATATATATAAAAATTGTTTATTAAATGTTTAATATACATAAAATAAAAATAAAGTTATACTATTATTGTATTGTAATAAATTTAAATTATTTATATATAACATGTTTTTTATATAACACCGGCATCTTTGGCCAGTAAATAGAAAATACTAGTTCTATTAGAGAGCAGCTCATCGGGTGACGCAAACTCGGCTACCCGTCCATCGTTTAGCACTAATACCCGATCGCTGTCCATAATTGTGTTGATTCGGTGAGCAATTGTTAGGACAGTACACGACTTGAACTCTTGTCTAATAGTTTGCTGAATAAGTGCATCGGTTTCAACATCGACGGCAGCCGTGGCCTCGTCGAGGATCAGCAGACGTGTGTTACGGAGCAGTGCCCGCGCCAGACATATGAGCTGTCGTTGTCCAACACTTAGGTTATCTCCAGATTCGTCGACCTGATAGTCGAGTCCCATATCTGTAGACTTGACAAACTCGTTGAGATGCGAGTGCTCGAGCACTGACCACAATTGGTCGTCAGTAAAGCGATCAAACGGATCCAAATTAAAGCGAATGGTACCCGAAAATAGTACCGGTTCTTGTGGTATGATTGTCAGCCGCGAACGCAACTGTTGTAGACCTAACTGACCAATATCTGTATCATCGATGACAATGCGACCCATTGCTGGCTCAATGAGTCGAAACAGAGCCAAAGTTAGCGATGACTTTCCGGCACCGGTTCGGCCAACTATACCGATCTGTGGACAGTAGTGTTAATAATTTAATTTCTATATATATACTGTATATTATAATAATACCTTTTCTCCGGGTCTTATATCGACATAAACATTGTTTAGAACTAAATCCAATCCCTCCCGATATCGAGTGCCGTATCCATCGAATCGTACGCATCCTCTGTCGGGCCAGTTATCGGGCAACGGATACCCTGAATGCCAATCGGCTTCCGATGGAAGACAACAATACTCGCGTATCCTTTCAACAGAAACCATATAGTTTTCAGTCAATGAAAACGAAGTGATAAACGTTTCCATAATAGTGGTCAATGAGATGGCGTTTGATAGGGACAGTCCTAAGTCGGCACCCGATAGTCGACCTTTTGCTAGTACGCCGAACAGTGAGGCAAAAAATATAAGAAAATTGCTGAGCACTGGTAGTCTAACTTTGAGCCAACTGTTGGCTACAATATTAGGATAGAGACACATCTGATTGATATCTATTAGATGGTCGGACTCCCGTAGAAACCGATCGACACAATCGTAGGCCCGAATGCTGGACACACCGGTCAGTGTTTCACCAAAATGTGAATATATTGGCGATCGGGTTATCGATTCTAATCTATTTATTTAAAATTGAAAAAAATATTTTCACAAAATTACAGTATATTTTAATTCCTATAAATGTTAACTACTGTATATATTCAGTATAATATTCAATATAACTATAATATATAACTACAAATTAACATTTAATTCATACCGTTTTAATTGACGCGAAGTTTTGATGTAAACAAACTATTTAAAAAAAAATAAAATATGATTTTATAATTAATTGTAAAATAATAAAACAGATATTTTTACAACAAAATAAATAAATGTTATTTTAATAATTTATAAAAATATTACTAATAGTAAACCTGTAACACATAATACAGTATTGCTATAACAATAAATGGTGCCAAAAATATAGGCGTCTGTATGGATATTGACAAAAGTATGGCTAATACGTTGAATATATATTCAAATGTTTGGCTATTGAATAATAATAATAATAATTTTTTTTAAAAATTAACATTAATAATAATAATTTAAAATAATATATATATATATATATATATTTTTTAACTTGAAATATGTTGGCATATTTTGGTCAACTATATTCATATCTTTATTGAAACGATTGGCAATACGACCGCCGGGTGTTGTATCGAAAAAACTCATTGGCGCGTGAAGTATACGTGTTAGTAGCTGACCGTGCAGTACGTTGGACGCCCTAACGGTGCCCACTACTAAAAAGTATCGGCTCAGTACTAGCGTCAATAGTTGGCCGGCTATGATGGCACCGAAAATGCCCAAATAGTAGCCATTGTTGACCGACAAATATTTGGCAGCCATCATACTATTGGACCAATAGTTTAGCCAAAATGTTGATCCATAGACACAAGCAGTTGTCAATAATAGGGTTGTCATATATATAATAAAAAATAGTGAACCAATTGATAGAATATATCTTAAATAAATCTATTTTTTACAAATAAACAAATATTAATAATATATTCATATAAATAAATTGTTATACTAATATAATTAATATTATTGTTAATAAAAAAATTTATTAAAATTGTGTAACTTAATATGTTGTAAATTACAATTTGTAATTTGAAAATTACTAAAAGTTTAATATAAATAAATAAATTTACTTTAAATTTAACTTGACCTTCTTCAACATTTTCATCTTCAATTAATCTAGATTTTTGATTATTATTATTATTGCCAATAATATTAGTATCTAAATTTTTAATATTATCATCATCATTATGGTTATGGTTATGAGTTTGAGAAACTTTTCGACAAATTTCCGGTAAATTGTAATCGCTATCATTATCGTCATCATCAGTAATATCAGTGTTGTTTGTGTCCGATAAATATTGTTTAATTAATTGCATAAAATATTTGTTTTCACGTAACAGCTGTTCATAGGTACCGACGGCGACCACTGAGCCATCCTTGAGGACAACAATGCTATCGACATCGGGTAATACAAACAACTGGTTGGTAACCAAAATACGAGTTTTGTTGCGCAAAATACCGGTTCGCGAGTCTAATACGTTAGTGACGATATGTTTGCCCACATGACTGTCCACTAAAAATAAATATTTTTTATAATTTTTTAAAAAATAAATAATACAAACATTAAATAAATAAACTGAATATACCAGCAGATAGTGGATCGTCGAGTAAATATAGGTCGGCACCGGAATAGACAGCTCTGGCCAAACTGACTCTCTGTTTTTGACCGCCGCTCAGATTCACACCCTTTTCGCCGATCTCTGTCTGATCTCCTGCGGGAAGCTGTTGCAGGTCCTGTCCGAGCGCACAGTTATCAATCACCCGGTCGTACAGTTTGCTGTCCAGTTGTTTGTCAAACAGTATATTTTGTTTGACAGTTGTATTCTGTATCCACGCCTGTTGGGGAACATAGGCTACGCTAACATCCTGTCTAATGTTGACCGATCCCTGAATGAGATTCATATCGCCAAATAGGGCCGATATTAGCGAACTTTTACCGGAGCCGACACCGCCAATAATAGCCACAAACTGACCATCCGTTACGTTCAAATCAATTTTATTCAATGTATTGCTATTTTTCTGGTTATTATTATTATTATTACTACTCTTGTTGTTGTTGTTGTTGCTGATGATGTTATTATTATTATTACTATTTTGTTGGCTACTGTCCCACAAAAATGTGGCCTTATTTACGGAAACAATATAATTGTTGTCCAAATTTCTTGTAATATAATTATTGTGTTCATCTAAATTGAGAAACACTTCGATACGTTTAAACGATACAAATAGCTGTGTGTGTGTGTGTGGGTGTGTGTGGGTGTGTGTGGGTGGATGGGTGGGTGTATAAAAAATAGTTTAAATATAATTATTTATTTATACTAATATTTTTTAAAATATAATTTTTTCCAGTAATAATAAATAATTAGATAAAAATTATAATAATCATACATATTATAATTTAGTTACTCATTGTGTAGTAATACATATTAATAGATTAAATATAGTGAATAAAAAATATGAAATAACTAAATTTAAATTTAATTAATATCTTCCAAAATAAATATATTATACTTAAAATTAAATATTATTTTATTATTACAAATATGTTTTTATTTTTCACATACCATTGACAGTGTATAAAAGCTTACGGGTAACATAATGACTGCATCCTTGATCAATGAAAATAACGATATCGACACAAACAATATCTCCGGTGTTAACTGTCCTCCACTGATATTGAGTCCAATATATGAACCAAATGAGATCAGTTGTGCAAATGATGGACTGGTCAATAGCATTATAACAAAAATCGATACACAATGAAATCCATTTTTTAAAAATAATAACTCTTTTTGGCGAATCTTTGTTACCCTTTCCATAAACGACTGTTCCCATGCATATAACTTAACATATATAAAATATTACATAAAAAAGTTTATATATATAACACATTTATTAATGTTTAAAAATTATTTAAATTACTACAACAACAACAACGACTACTACTACTACTACTACTACTACTACTATAAATAATTATTAAACAAAAATTCTAATAATAATTATTAGATTAATTACAATAAATAATCTTTAAATATATATATATCTATACCTTAAGCACTTTAATTCCAGTAATAATTTCATTCAATATGGCCAGTCTACTATCAGTTTGTTGTAATGTTTTTATTTGATAATTGGTAAATGCTATTATAACTAGCAGATCAATTGGTAAAATAATGGCAAATACTGATACACCGATTAATGCGGCCACACCTAACTCGGTATACAATAAATATATTGCAATAGCAATCTGTAACGGTGCCGACAGTATGTAACCAATATTTTGAAAATTGTCTAAATTAAATAGTATTATATAAATTAAATAAATTATATTATTATTAAAAATAAACTAAAAATTTTATATACATTATAAATAATACTGGTAGACATTTATTAGCAATTTCTAGTTTTTGATATATTATTATTAGAGTGCGTTAAACTAATAACAAATGTTAGTTATTGTATTAAGTAATTAATAAAATATATTTTAAATGTATTTATATTGTTAGATATGAAAAAGCATAAATTGTTTTCAGAATATAATGTATTAAAATTAATTATTTTACAATACTGTATATATTTCATAAATTATTGTGAATATAATTATTTAGTAGAAGCATATAATAAATTATATTAAGTTTTTTTGCAATTCAATGATTATTACTTAAAAGTTTTAAGTTAAAACAACAATTTTAATTACCGTTTACTTGTTGACAGTCAATAGCCATCAGATTCATGATCTCACCATTAGGTGTGTGCCGTTTGGACTCATTGCTCAACACCATTGACTTACGATAGACGGCTGATTGTAGGCCTGACTTTATATTTAAGGCTATTTAAAAATTAGTAAAATAAAAATCAAATATATTAATAGTATGGATAATATTTTTCAAAATATACAATTAGTATACATAATTAATATTTTTAAATAAATATATATTTTTTACCTATTGAACTAATATTTTGAGAATAATATGCATTAAATAAACTAGCTAAAACATTTATCGACATTAATAAAACAGTAAAAATATATCCATGCCATTGGGGTGCATTGATATCTTGGATAAAATTAATCAATAATCTATTTTTTTAAAAACAATATATAAATAAATTCATAATAATTAGTAATATTATACAAAATTTATATTTAAAAAATTATATTAATGGTTTTTAAATAATAATTTAATCTAGATTTTATTATTATTAGTATTATAATAATCATACTTGACAATTAATGGTTGTACCATTGTTAAACATGCTGATATAATAAATAATAAGCAGGGTACTATTGTATGTAAACCATATGTTTTAGTAATTGTCCAGATTATTTTTATACGTTTTGATTTACTATTAATATTGTTATTATTATTTTTAAGCCAATAATGTGTAATCTTTTTATAGTTATTAACTGTACTATCGGTCGGACGCAGTGACCAGAGATCGTCAAATATTAGTGACTTTTGCCAGCCTTTCCAAAACATACTGTTCGCCCAGTGATAGGTTATTTGCGACGGAAACGATGCCCACTGTTTGGGACAAACAGTGTGTTTGCCAAACGCATCGATTTTATTGCAATCTGCGGACAACTGTTTGTCGGCAAACGTACAGTAGATTAATAATAGTACAGTAATCGAGTAGTTAATACAATATAATATAAATTCATAGTTTTGTAGGTAATCTTGTGTGGCATATGTGGCCACAGAGAGAGCACCTAAAACCGTGTCCGCCAATAGATATATCCATACAAAACCATTTGTTGTAATACCAGACAATATGTACAAATAAAATACAATACATAGCGCTAGTCTGGTAATAATCTGTACGGCAATGGCTATAATATATGCCGTACTCGGACTGTCCGACCATTGATATTTGCGACATAAGCTTAGTATCAGTTCCACTAATAGGATACCAGTGCTGACAACGGTTAGGCCTAATCTGCTGATATTATAATAGTTCCATTTAATAACAGTGTATTTGTTACTAGTCCTGCATATCCACTGTATTAGATTCAGTATAAAACCTAACCACAAAACAATACAGGGAACCCATACAAACCAAGTGTTTAGCATACATGAGCTCGGATAGGGTCTAGTTGTGTACCATAATGTTTTGGTATCCTATTAACAAAAAATTATACTTATAGTTCTATTACATTATAATCTATTATATGATAGTTTGATATTACAATTAAATAATCAAATAAATATTGTTTAGATAACATAAAATATATTCTCTCAATAAATACTTACCACTAATTTATCATTACATATATTTTCAAACATTTTTATAATTTATCCGTATATAAAATAGATATATAATTAACAATAAAATATTTAATTTGTTAACAATATATTATTAATTATATTAATTAAATCTATTACATATATATATATATATATATGTTAACAACCATTGTTTTTTTTATTAATGTTTAATGTCTAAAAAACAAGATATACAATATAATAATAAAAATCATACTAGTATTTAGAATAATTTGCATTTATTAATGACATAGCATATTTTAAGTATATTAATAAATTCATATATTTTTTGTCGTATAGTAAACAACATTGATAAAATAATTTACACTGCAATTTTTTTCTAAATAATTATTTTTATTAACATGGCAAATAATTTAAATTAAAAAAATATTTAAAAACAATACAATTGAAATTTAAGAATTTAAAAAATAAATAATAATTTTATTAAATTAATTATTTAACATAAACATTATATTTACTAACAAATGATATTTTAGAAATATTTTATTTATATATTCAATATTCAATCTATTGTATACTAATGTAAATTAATATAAAATATTTAAAAAAATTTATTAAAGACTAAATGTTTATAAAATCTAATAGGATGACAATAAATATTATAAACATATTTACTATGTTTACTAAATTACAGTGTATAAATAACAACAAATTTAAACATGTATTATAGTATTAACCAAAATACAACAACAACTAATAATAATAAAAAATTTCAAATATAAAAAATAATAAAAACTAATTAATAAGGTTTTTTGGTCGTACTATTGCTAATAGTTTTGACAATCCAATCGATATAAAAGGAAACTCGTGCCCAATATGTATTTAAATCGGGATTGTTATAACCGCACTCTCCATCAATATCTTTATTAAAACCCGAAAATACGCCCAACAGGACAGCCCTTCCATTAACATACTGTACTAATGGCCCGCCAGAATCACCCTGGGTTTGTGTGTATGTGTTTGTATATATAGGTGTGTCATATATTTAATAGAAACCAAAAAATATAACTAATTAATTAGCAAGCACATTTACTATTATTGTTTTTAGAAAAAAACATACGACACAAATATCAGTTCCCTGTTCATGATATCTTTTGGTTGGCAGTACAGACATGTATTCAAATTCTGTCCAATTTGGTTCCCGATATAGTGTCGAATCCATAACAATACGCATAAAACCCATGATATGTCCCGTATCGGGATTTGTACCGTTTGATGAAATTGGTCCCCAACCGCTGGTCATTGCCAGCTCATCGCCGTTTTCGTGTATATTGGCTTCGGGCATACAAACCGAATTGACCAGTTGGCGATCACCGAAATCAATAGATTTTGTCAGTCGTATCAGTGCCAGATCATACCTACCGATGTCACTGCCATACCAAAAGTCTGGATACTCGTACAGTTCGCGTGATATATAGCGCCGGGCGTACGGTTTGCCCGTGTCGTTGGCAATAGCATCACCCGATTCATAGCCCAGATAGGCATAAACATATGCCGGACAATTGAACTGGGTGGCATCGCAACTAAATATTGCAACAACAAATAAAATGACTAAAAAAGATATTGTAAAATACTATAAAATTATACTTTTGTGTTTACCGTGTGTGTGTGTGTGTGTGTGTGTGTGTGTGTGTGTTTGTTTGTTTGTGTGTGTGTGTGTATAGTTTAGATTAGTAGTGTGTAGTTAGGGGTGGGTGAATGGGTGAATGTAGTTGATTAGCAAAAATAAACTACAGCTAAACACCATTAAACATAATATATTACATACTATATGCAGTGGGCGGACGTCATAATCCATTGTTGACTAATTATGACTCCCGAACAAAATTTGTAATCATATTTAGCCCTATAATATATATATAAACAAACAAAATCATATTAATACTGAATATTATTGATTGTGTTGTATCAAACAATTATTACTAATTGTTATAATTTTTTTATGTCTAATACCCTATAGATATAACCAAACCTAACCTTTTTGTATCCAATAGTTTTAATTGAATCTTAAGATAAGCCAAAAAATTGAGATCTCCTTTGCGGGCAAAACGACCGTTTATAACACTTGCGTCAAACGTTTTGTGAAATCTGAAACACTGGTCACTAAAGAGTGGCGATTCACGGGTTATACCGCAATCGGTGTCATTCAAGTACGGGTAGCGACCAATACGCGCGTGCTGTATGTCTGCAGAGTACGTGCCATTTGATTGTAATATTATGATTGTTACTAAAAAATTTAATTATTTTAGGATTTTTTTTGGGTTAAACTATATACTGTACTATTTTAATATATGAACAAATAGATAGTTTAATAATTTATTTATGATAAAATAATTATTTATTTATTTTTATAAAACTTACTTGGTAAAATAACAATATAGATGTAGTAATTTTGCATAATTTTGTTGTTTTTTTTGTTAGTTAATTTGCTGGTTATTTATTAATTATTTGAAAACATTGTTTACTATAAAAATACAAATTTTATTTTTTTTAGAAATACTTTTATATTAAAAAGTATTATATTAACAAAATATATTAATGAAATTGTATTATATTTATATTTCTAAAATATTTATTAATATTCTATCATATTTTATATATGATATCATATATACAATATAAAAATAATATATTGTAGTTGTAATAAATAAATATATTTGTATATAATAATATTAATATAGTATTTAATATAAAATTAATAATAAATATTAAAATATTAAATTTTAAAAATATTATTTGATAATTACTGTAATATACTGTAAATTTACAATCTTAAAAATATAAAACTATTTACTAAACTAAAAAATATATTAGCTTTAAAACAACTATTTAAATTAAATATAATTATTTTTAATACTGTATAATTTATGATTTTATCTTTACGTAATATATTATTTATAAATTATTATATTGTATTAATGTAATTATTTTTTTAATATACAATAATACTCAACATTTTAATCATAATAAATTTACTAATCATATATTTAATTAGTTAATATTAATGTAACCTAAATTTAATATTTAATAAAAAAATTTAAAATGTAAAAAATAATAAACTAATTAATAAGGCTTTTTGGTCGTACTATTGACAATAGTTTCGACAATCCAATCGGTATAATAGGAAACTCGTGCCCAATAGGTATTCAATTCGGGATCAGTAGTACCGCACAAAACATCTAAAAATTTATTAAAACCCGAAAATACGCCCAATAGGACAGCCCTTCCGTTAACATACTGTACTAATGGTCCACCTGAATCACCCTGGATATTTTTGTGTATGTGTATATTTAAATGATATATTTTAAATAATAAAATTGTAAAAATAAATTAATTAGCACATCAATAATTAGCTAGCACATTTATTACTACTAATACAGAAAATGTCAATTAAAAGTTTAATTTTGAGTAATATTATGTAATGCTCTAGCAAGGTACTTTATATAACTTACCTAATATTAGGTAACTGTATACTAAGTTAGCGTAAAGTTAACTGTACAGGATATAATTCAAATTTAAACTTTTAATTAACATTATCTGTATTATATTATATTATTATTGTATATAAATTAATTTATATACAATAATAGCTAACATACTGTACCTCACAGACATCAGTTCCCGTTTGGCTAAATCTTTTCGTAGTTATTACTGACCAGAGTTCAGCGTCTGTCCAATTTGGCTGCTGGTATAGTGTCGAGTTGAAAACAATACGCATAAAACCCATGATATGTCCCGTATCGGGATTTGTACCGTTTGGAGATATCGGTCCCCAACCGCTGGTCATTGCCAGCTCATCGCCAGTTTCGTATATATCTCGTTCGGGCATACAAACCGAATTGACCAGTTGGCGATCACCGAAATCAATAGATTTTCTCAGCCGTAACAATCCTATATCATATCTGCCGATGTCGTAGCCAAAAATATAGGCCGGAAACCCGTACTGTTCGCGTACTATGTAGGGCCGGGCGTCAGGTTTGCCCGTGTCGTTGGCAATAGCATCACCCGATTCATAGCCCAGATAGGCATAAACATATGCCGGACAATTAAACTGGGTGGCATCGCAACTAAATATAACAATTGTCATTAAGATTTTTAAAATTTTTTTAATTACATAAAAAAATTATTAACTAAATTATTCAATATATAATTTTTTTAAATATACTATATATATAGCTTATCATTACTAGAAGTATAGCTAAACACCAGTAACTTAATGTTTGTATATATTTTACATACTATATGCAGTGGGCGGACGTCATAATCCATTGTTGACTAATTATGACTCCCGAACAAAATTTGGTTATATATTTAGCCCTATAATATACATTCACACAAAAATCATATTATTGATTGTGTGCCCAAAAACAATTATAGACTTTAATTTAATGTCTAACACCATATGCCTACAAACCCTAACCTTTTTGTAGCCAATAGTTTGAATTGAAACTTAAGATAAGCCAAAAAATTGAGATCTCCTTTGCGGGCAAAACGACCGTTTATAACACTGCCGGCGCTCGCGTCAAACGTTTTGTGAAATTTGAAACATTGGTCACTAAATAGTGGAGATTCACGGGTTTTACCGCAATCGGTGTCATTCAAGTACGGGTAGCGACCAATACGTGCGTGCGGTATGTCTGCAGAGTACGTGCCATTTGATTGTAATATTATGATTGTTACTAAAAAATTTAATTATTTTTGTTTTTTTTTGGTTAAACTATATACTGTACTATTTTAATATATGAAAAAATAGATAGTTTAATAATTTATTTTTAAAAAACTTACATGTTAAAATAACAATATAGATGAAGTAATTTTTCATATTATTGTTGTTTTGTTAGTTAATTTGATAGTTATTTATTATATGATAATTTTATAAATCAGTTATTTTTTGATAAACAATTATTTATATTTTTCTATAATTTTGAATTTAAACTACAAACTAGATTTTTTTAGAAATAGTTTTAATTAAAAAATATATATTGAATTTATATTATATTATATTTCAAAAATATCTATAATATTTAGTATAAAATTTCTAAATTTTAAATAATATGATTTTATTTGTAACATAAATGCATAAAATGTTAATATCGTATTTAATATAAAATCTATAATCAATAGATTTTAAATATTATTTGATATAATTACATATTATAATATACTGTTAATTAAATATAATTATATATAATCATTATTAATATTGTGTATTTATGGGATTTTAATTTTACATAATATAAATAATTTAGTAGATAATTGGATAATTTCATGTTAATTTATGTTGTCAAATATTATTAATTAAAATATAATATTATTTTTAGTTATTATTATTAGCTATTACTACTAATTATATTTATTAAACTAAAAGCCCTTAAAATTTTGTATATAATTTATTGGCTTAATATTGTTTTTAAAAAATCAATATATAAAAGTTTATTGTGATTACAATTACATTTAATTGATATTATTATAAAATACAGTTTTATTAATAGTTCAATGATTAGCATTTACACTTATGCATTTATATATATTTTATATATTAACAAACATATAAAAAAAATATTAGTTATTAATTGATTAAATATCTTATAATATTAATGTCTTATTAAATATATTTTGAAAATTAATAGTTAAATAGTTTACATATTTAAAAAATAAAAATGTATAAAACAAAATTGTTATATTTATTTAGCAGTAATTTTTATACCAACTATTTTGACAAACTTGACAACATTTATACGGCTATCAATACAATCGGCAAATTTTTAGTCAAATACTACATAACCGTATCGACTATTGATGACTATGTTGATCGTGTCTATCCATTGAAACGACTCGTTGGCTGTCTGTGTGTGTGTGGACAGTGCACTATTGCTATTTGCTGTCCGATATGCAGTGTCGGGTGCCGTCAATCAGCAATGGATGCGCTCAGTTATGTGCGATGCTTTCTATTTGTCAGCTCATCCGACACTGTTGTCCTATACGGTGGCCGACTGTGCATTGGTTATGCTATTAATTAACATAACCATTCAGTACCAGTACTATAATCATAGACTAGATCTGATTCAATTGGCTAATGATTTGCGTCACAATCGTCACAACAGTAAAACTTGAATCAACAAAATCAACGAAAACTGGCCGTTAGGGTAAACATGTTTCAATACATTTATTAATACTCAGATACATTAAATTAATTTTGTAATATATAAAGTTTATATTATATTAAATTATATTATAAACTATAAAAATATATTTGTTTTTTTTTGTTTAAACAATCAATTTTGTTAAATATTACTAAAATTTATAGTATTTTATTTTAAATGTTTATAGAGTTTATAGTAATGTCTAGAATTGGTGTTTATTAGATTATCATTTATTTTTAATATAATAAATATTTAACAATATATTTATAAATCTTAATAATTTTAATTTTTTGAATACTAAACTATAATATTAATATTTTTTAAAAATAATTTATAAATACAAATAATTATCAAATAAAGTTTAATAATTTTAAATTGTATTTATACATATAGATAGCACCACTATTGTTGTTAATATACTTTATTATATTAGTACATTATTTTTAATTTTAAATATATCAAATTGTTGTAAAAATCAATTATTAATTAAATAATTTATTAGTAAAAAAAATAATTAAATCTATACTATTATATAAACTATTACAATAATAATAATAATACAAATAAATATATAGATATTTATTTATTTGCTTAACTTTTTTTTCTTAAACATGTATCAATGATTGCTGTATTAGATACTGTAGAGTGAAATAAATTTATTACAATATTAGCAACATTGCCGATAGATAGGCCCTGGGTAGTAATAGCATTGATTAATTATACATATACATATACATATACATATACATATACATATACATTATACATATACATATACATATACATATACATATACATATACATATACATATACATATACATATACATATACATATACATATACATATACATATACATATACATATACATTATACATATACATATACATATACATATACATATACATATACATATACATATACATATACATATACATATACATATACATATACATATACATATACATATACATTATACATATACATATACATATACATATACATATACATATACATATACATATACATATACATATACATATACATATACATATACATATACATATACATTATACATATACATTATACATATACATATACATATACATATACATATACATATACATATACATATACATATACATATACATATACATATACATTATACATATACATATACATATACATATACATATACATATACATATACATATACATATACATATACATATACATATACATATACATATACATATACATATACATATACATATACATATACATATACATATACATATACATATACATATACATATACATATACATATACATATACATTATACATATACATATACATATACATATACATATACATATACATATACATTATACATATACATATACATATACATATACATATACATATACATATACATATACATATACATATACATTATACATATACATATACATATACATATACATATACATATACATATACATATACATATACATATACATATACATATACATATACATATACATATACATATACATATACATATACATTATACATATACATATACATATACATATACATATACATATACATATACATATACATATACATATACATATACATATACATATACATATACATATACATTATACATATACATATACATATACATATACATATACATATACATATACATATACATATACATATACATATACATATACATATACATATACATATACATATACATATACATATACATATACATATACATATACATATACATATACATATACATATACATATACATATACATATACATATACATATACATATACATATACATATACATATACATATACATATACATATACATATACATATACATATACATATACATATACATATACATATACATATACATATACATATACATATACATATACATATACATATACATATACATATACATATACATATACATATACATTATACATATACATATACATATACATATACATATACATATACATATACATATACATATACATATACATATACATATACATATACATATACATATACATATACATATACATATACATATACATATACATATACATATACATTATACATATACATATACATATACATATACATATACATATACATATACATATACATATACATATACATATACATTATACATATACATATACATATACATATACATATACATATACATATACATATACATATACATATACATATACATATACATATACATATACATATACATATACATATACATATACATATACATATACATATACATATACATATACATATACATATACATATACATATACATATACATATACATATACATATACATATACATATACATATACATATACATATACATATACATATACATATACATATACATATACATATACATATACATATACATATACATATACATATACATATACATATACATATACATATACATATACATATACATATACATATACATATACATATACATATACATATACATATACATATACATATACATATACATATACATATACATATACATATACATTATACATATACATATACATATACATATACATATATATACATATACATATACATATACATATACATATACATATACATATACATATACATATACATATACATATACATATACATATACATATACATATACATATACATATACATATACATATACATATACATATACATATACATATACATATACATATACATATACATATACATATACATATACATATACATATACATATACATATACATATACATATACATATACATATACATATACATATACATATACATATACATATACATATACATATACATATACATATACATATACATATACATATACATATACATATACATATACATATACATATACATATACATATACATATACATATACATATACATATACATATACATATACATATACATATACATATACATATACATATACATATACATTATACATATACATATACATATACATATATAGATTACATGAAAGATATGTTTTATTGGTAAGCCCCCCATGGGAGCAATTTCAATTAGGTTAATTTTGATAATTTAATTTAAATCTAGTTTATCATTATAAGAAAAAACTTACAATATTAATGCAATAATTAAATACCTTAATTAGTATAATTATTTTATTTATTAAAAATAATACCAAAAAAAAAGTAGAAAAATAAATATAAATTTATAAAATATAACCTAAAACTTGCTATAGAAATGTCTTTTTAATTTATTGTTATTGTTGTTTATAGTAATAGTATTAAAATAAAAACATTTGATTACAAAACACATTTTATTGACACTTAACAGCGCAATGTTTTCGACAAATAAAATATTAGATATTTTTTAAAATTTTGTTTATATTTAATATAAAAATAAATAAAATTTTTTCTAACGGCTAATATAATATCTGTCATAAATCATATTAAATTTATAAAATCTTTCTCTCTCTTTCTCTCTCTTTAAAATAACAAAAATAATAAAATCAAATGTTTCATAAAAAAAATAAAACAATATTTTATCTATCGATTAATTGTCTAATTTCTAGCAAATCGGCTATCATTTGGCGATAATTTATCCACAAAAAAAACAAACAAACAAACACTTAATCTACATATCTCTCTCTCTCTCTCTCTCTCTCTCTCTCTCTCTCTCTCTCTCTATACCTGTGGCGGCGCTCAGGTATGATATCTTCACCAAAAGAAAAAACAGTCGACAATAATTGCCGGTTGAGTTCATCGATCGCCAAGAGAGTAGTACATCCTGGAGATAGCTATAGACCTACATATAGACTAGTATATGATAGACAGGCCGACGTATATGACGGGCCAGTGAACACACAATAGTATGGCACGGATATCAAAATCAGAGCCGCCGAAGAAGAAAAAAAAAACATCAGATGAACGCACTGTCCTAACAGTCTGAGGACTTCATCATCTAAATGTAGAGCCCATATACCTGGAGCATTGTTTCCACGTTAATAACTACCGGTGCTTAGTATAAACAGATACTAATAATAAGTCGCACCATCCGTAAAACCAGCCGTTTTTGTGGACCAACACTTTCGGAGGTGTAGGGGATGAGGTGGGTAGGAGTAATGTCTAATGTATAGACAGTTGAAGGTCGTCCAAGTTATGGACGGATATCAACAACAGGAATATTCCGGTAAACTATTGTTAAGTCTATAATTGTGACATAATTATAGACATAATAATAATAATAGTAATAACATTTAGATAACATAGTGCCATAAAATAGATAATAATAGTAATAATAGCAACAACAGTAATAATAACAATATTTTCGTAAAATTGTTATATAATATGCTAATTTATTTTTTTAAAAAATGTATACTGTACATATTATATTTTTACATTGAATATTATTATTATTATTATTATTAGTAGTAGTATTATTATAAATTTTAGCTAGTTTCTATATATTTAAAAAGTAATACATTATTATCTTAATGTACCGATTATAATGTCCATCCCAATTAGGGACCTACTGGGACTCATAAATAATATTAATTTTTAACTTATCAATATATAAAATAGTTTTAATAAAACAATTTCAAATTATTATTAAACAATAAAATTGTTGTATTTTATAAAATGTTTTTAATTTGCTAACAAATCATTAAAAAAAAATATTATGTCTTTAATATAAATATATATTATAAAAATAAAATAAATCTCATTTGTTATAAAATAAAAATAATATGTAAAATTTATAAAAGACATTGACATAGATTATGTTAAAAATAGAAAATCAAATATCAAACGTCTATTGCTTAATAAACTTTTGACTTTTAAAAATTTTATTATATAGTATAACGTTAATAAATAATATTTTTTTATCAACATATATACTAATAACAAATAAATAATATAAATATTCTATAATAACTACTATAAATACTATAAATAATAATAATATTCTATTTAAATGGTAAAACATTGAAAAATATATTATAGTTAATTATTACGACAATAGATTAATTATATAATAACTAATAGATGACATATCTATTACATAATATATTATATCATTATATTATTTAACATTGAAAATAACTTTACAAAAATAATAATTAAATATATATTAGAGTTAATTGTTATTTTATTTTGAAGGATGGAAATTATTTTTATATATTATATAATAATTAGTGTTTAATTAATTTTAAATATATATACCGTATATATATATTATTGACGTCAATTAATGTTATTTTAATTATTGATACTATTAATATTTATATTAAATACAATAATATTAGTATAAAAATAGATGATAAATGTATAATATTATATTTTAATTAAAAAAATATTTGCTTATTTTGTATTTAATAAAATAATTTTGATCAAAACAGTACTGATAATTTTTTAAATCAATAAACAAGTAATTATTATTGTATTAAAATTTATAGTACTATTTAATAGCTACTATTATGAATAGTTAAATATGATTCAATACAAAATAAATAAGATTTACATTAAATTTGAATATTTATCATTAAATGTAAAATAAGAAAAATAAAATTTAAAAAAAATAAATAGTCATATTTATAGTCTATTAAAACTAATAAGGGTAATTTATCTAGCAATTAGCTTATAATTATTGGTTTTTAATTGAGAATTTTATAGTAATATAAATAAATTAAAACTAATTACTTAAAAAAACAATTACTGTTTTTTTAAAAAATATTCAACATTGCATAAAATATTTAAATTTGTCATATTTGCTAGAATAAAAACAATATATTTTAACAAAAATAAATATTTTTTAATACGGTTGTAATTGCACACATTAAATGTAAAATGTTAGTTAAATGTTTAAATAAACAAATTAATTGTAAATGATTAAAAAGATAATAATTTTATATATATATATATATATATATATATATATATATATATATATATACAGTATATATGTATTTTAAATATAAATTCCTAAGTTTAATGCTGTTTAATGTCAATATTAAACTATAAAATAAATATCTTATGAAATTATATTGGAAAAATAAAATTAATTATTTTTGAAAAACAAATTTTTGAAAATTAAAATATATGTTATTTATATTAATAAAAATATATATATAAAAAGTTTTTTTTTCTGTAAAATAATATAATTTTAATTAAATGTTATTTAAATATATAAATTCCAAAAAAAAAAATATTTAAATATTAACAAAATTTGACAATTTATTAATAGAAAAAACTAAATAATTTTATAAATTCATTTTATTAAATGTAATCTAATACAAAATATCTGCTAAATAACAATAAAAAAACAACTTATATTAGCACAAAATTTTAGCAGAAAAAAAAATGTTGAAATATTTTATTAAATTTTGTTGCATTAATTAAAAAAAACAAAACATACTAAGTATTGAAAAAAATTTTTACTTAACAGATAAATATAAATTATTTTCTATATTTATCACATTATTGTCATAAACTTGTAAATATGCTATAAATAACTATTATATATTTACTGTATATTGGTATTAATATATATAACAAATAAGATATATATATATATAACTTATATAATATCATATCATATGTCTATCTGTGTACGTGTTGTCATAAATTGTTAGCAACACTTGACTGATACATATTAATGTTTAACTAAAGAAAAATAAAATAAATTATTATCAGTCATATGTCATATTATTATATTATAATTGTTTCAACAAATTTTTGATATAAATCTTCTTTTATATTTTTACACCAAAAAAAATTATTACAGAGATATGATATTAACACATCACAGCACCGGATATATTATTATGACTTTTATTTTGTTGATAAAATTATTAAGATTATCATTATTTTTTTATTATAATAAGTCAAAAATAAAAAATTTAGTCTAGCAAAACAGTAATATAGATATAATATATTATCAACAAATATATTATGATCGTGATATTATCCTGTATCAATTACAGTATTATTTTTTGTATTTAATAAAGATTAGTAATTTTTTTATCTACATTAATAAAACGTTCAATGATTAATGTTGTACTATAACATAGGATGACACTTATATATATATATATATTAAATTATATATTTATTTTACACTTTTAGTTGTTTCCGCTTTATAAGCCTAACTTAATATATTTCCTCCAACAACAAAAAAAATCAAATCAAACACATACAATGTTGGGGCCAATTATGTCATTATGTTTGGTTATATATCATCATAGTGTGTTGGTATACTAAAATACTGTATATATAATAAATTTATAAATTTATCACTTTCACATTTAAATGGTAATTATATCAGTGTTAAAATTTCTATGCAGTATATTATTAATCATAAAACATAGTTAACATATTGTAAATACGATATACTGGACATATATATATAATGGAGGAAACTATTATTACTACAATTAATTATTTTGAATATATTTGTAATAATCATTTTTTATTATATGTAAAATTACAGGTAGCTATCACTATTTAAAAAAAATACATTACTATTATCTATTTTGTAATTTTTTATAATCAACATTTGATATCTTAACTTAACAAATATGTTAATCTCTAATGATAGCAAAAACTGTGACTAAATATTTATTGTTAATTATAATGAAAAATATTAAAAATTATTGAAGTGTTTAGTTTTATTATATTGTAATGAGTAGATTTTATCATTACTGTTATAACTATAATATATCCTATTTCTATACCGTTTCAATATTATTTTAATAGCATTGCCATTTATATCTGGAAAGTGTTGATTATTTAGATGTTTCATGAGAATTTTTGGGGTGAGTTACTCGCTTCACTTTCCATGCAATGATTTCACGTAAACCACTGGAATGGCCGCCACTATTGGCACAGTACTCCTGTAGTGGTTTAGGTTGTCTTAATTGTACATTGGGCACAATATTAGCTTTTACTACACAATTATTAATACAATCTATGTCTGATTGATCGTAAATTAAGACATTACTACTTTGCGGACCAATTATATAAAAGGTATTATCTCTGGTCCTGAGATTATTTAATTCAATTTGACCTTTACTATCAAACGAAACACTATTCAATGTTAAGACAGACTCATTATTTTGAGAGTTAAGACTCGAAGTCTGTACCACTCGGGTCTGGTCAGAAGCTCTGAGACCAGTAAAAACTATTTTACTAGTTTGGTCACTCACTACACGTGACACAACTATAGTATACTGAAGACAGGACGATACAGTGTTATCAGCATCCATACAATGGCTGGCTAGCCGCAACACTTGCGCTAAAACAAACAAAAACCGACATTACTCAATGACAACAAATGTCTTGTCGCAATTATAAACTGGTAACTAAAACATAACGATTGACTAACTGGTCGGGCCCTACCAATAATTGCCAACGAGAGAAGCCTCAAAGCCTCCCTCTAACCAAAACATGCAACTCAATACCCAATCTACTAGTAAGACTGAGTCTAATGGTCAGTACCATCACTCGGTACTACCGTCGGTAAAACCGGCGTATAGTCTATTCAAATACCCACTATAGGATAAGTAATGCTATACCCGTTGACCAACCCTGTGGCCAAACTATAAATCAGAGTCCTCTGACTCTGATGACATAACCATGGGATCGTCACAAGCAATCTCTGGGGGAATCTAACCCATCTATGTCTCTCCAGCCGTGCCTACCCGGCACTAAATAAAGGCGTTTAAACACTAGTTAAACCCTACCCGACACTCGTCGGTGAAATATGAT